CCTTCTGCTCCTCCTCCTCCTTCTCGTTTTCCTTCTGGGAAGCCTGGAGGCTCGCAGACAGGCAGACAGGAGTCTCTGAGGAGTCAGGTGGAGCTGTGGCAGTCGTTTGTAGCTCTGCAGCCACGGAGCCCAGGTCTGGATGAATCTCGGGATCCGTTTTCCCTTCTCTGCAGAGCTGTGGTTGTTCGGCCGTGCTGTTCATCGAGGCTGCCATCGCTTCTCCTCCTGCAGCCTTAAGTTTCCATGTTCTTTGGAGAAACCACAGGGCTATTTTTCAAGTGTGCTAACAGCTTGATACATTCCACATGCTAAAAAAGTTGACCTGGAAAAGCAATCAGTGATGGTGTATGAATATATTGTATTTACAGTAAGCACACTCGCTCAGAGCAGCACTGGGTCACTTGTTAGCTCACTGGGCACTTGTCCAAATATTAAAAATGTTGACATTAAGTAATTTGGGGGCGTAATAATGTTTTAATTAATGGCTATTTAAACACCTCTGGTCAGATTGACCTACATGTCTAGTTGAAAAATTCTGGTGGAGGTAATAGATTTGGCACGCTCAGTACATTGTGGTTTGTGGAAGGCAGTGGGGCATACCTCAAACTTGTGATAACCCTTTATTTCTGTAGAAGAGGAGCATATAAATGCACAACACTAAATATTGTCCTTTCTGTTTATTTTTCAGATTAGCACTGTATGTATATGAATATCTGCTCCATGTAGGAGCACAGAAATCAGCCCAGACATTTTTATCAGAGGTGAGTTTTTTTATGTGACTTCTGAAGGGCCTGCAAGTGAAATAAATATGATTTGGTGTAGAATAAAAGCAGTGAGAAGCTTGGATATCAGTTTGCCTTAATCCGCTGTTCCTCATCCTCTGGAACCCAGTTTGCCATGTCATTTTACATGATTTTGTGTAACTATTTTTGCTGTGGTTTGTTATCCCCATTCACTGGGGAAGATTAATCTATTTTCTCTAATAAGTGGGCATGTTGGAGAACACTTCAGTGGTACTCGGTTTTGATGACCTTTTAACTTACTGTTGATATCTCCAATTGTGAATGATGGGCTCTTCTAAATGTATTTTACATCCCACTGTCATACACTATCAGTTCTCCTCTGAAGCACTGCTGATCTCTCTGTGCTCTCACCATGCTTTTAACCACTTCACTTCTTTTCATCTGTTGAATCAATGATGGCCACAGCCACTTAGGTCCTGCTTTTTTAAACACTTTCAACTGCTAATGGATTTTTTACCTTTACACAGTAGTTTTGGGTTTTTTAAGAGTCTTTTCAAAGACTTTGTATGCATCCTTTGAAGGCTGAAGTAAATTATGTCTCCTCAGCATTTTACTTTTGCCCTAGGACACAAATGTATGCTGAACACATTGAAGTCGTCTGGGTTTATTATTGTTTCAAATCTTTGACAAGAACATAAAAGATAATAACAACAATAACAATAACTAATAATAATAATAACAGTAGCGTAGTACTAATAATAGGAATAGTGAACAGAAGTTGGTAAGAAATAGGCAAGATATTGTCCTAGGAAAATTTGCTGCTTTAACTGATGCTTCTCCAAAAGCTAATAAAATTATTATGCTGGTGATGACATTTTGGAGATGGAAGAGGAGAAAATGAAAATCCAGAGGGTTGTTTGCAATGTTTGCACAAAACTGACAAAGCAGAGATAAGGAAAAAGGGTAGAATTGTAGTAGGATCAGTTTATGTTTATAGTAAAGCATGTTTTTGACAATTGTTTTAGCTCTGTGGTAATGCATTGGAAAAATAAGAGATAAAATAATGTAGAGTATCATCTTGGCTTTTCCAAAACAGCTGTCATTTGTAAATAATACATTGCACAAGGTAAATTTTGCTCATGTTGTTTTTATGATCTATTTGCAAAATGAACAGTTGGCAGAAGCATAGCTGGTATGACATCTGGATTTCCTGAAAACGTTAAATACACTGTCTTCAAACTCAGCTTTTAGAACCAATTCAGTCTTGAGTTACAGAGAAGCTCTGAGGTCTGAACAATGAAACAAGAATATACCAAATCTTCAAAATTGAGACCTGTACTTATTAAGAGATGGTCAGCATGGGTCAGGGACAATTAGTAGTGCACAGGAATGAGGAATGAGCTGTGAGTTTATTTCCCTCACTAACTAGCAGTGCATGAGGGTAAATGTGCTGACAGTTCTTGGGAATGGTTCTGTGGCTGCCAGGCTGGTTGCCCTCTCTCAGTCTGGGTGGGTTTAATTTTAAAGTTTAACAGTTCAGAATGAATGTTGGGGCTTAAAAGAAGAGCCCGCATAGATTGTTTGAGCTGTAGGGCAGCCAGTGGTGTCTAAAGGTTAAGAGCCCTCTCTCACAGATCTGCCAGGGACTGTGGCTCAGAGGAATGGATCCAAATTAAAGGAAAATAGAAGTTGGATATCTATGAATCCACTGTGATACTCCATAATTTAGGGATGGTTGTCCTGAGCACCCCTGTGTTTTTGTCCTGCTTTATGTCCAGTTTGACTTTTGTATGCTTCCCTTGAAGAGCTGATCCTTATCCCACTTATTTTCTATCCTGGAAGTCAGATTCCAGCCTTGGATAAATCCACTAGCCTGGCTGGACCAGGTTGTTGGGCATTTCCCAGATAATCATTCCCTGGCTATGAGCTTAACCAGTACATTTGACAATGAAGAATTTTTTTCCTCTATAAATAATAATTCTTGGTAAGTCTCATTGATCAGACACAGACAGACCACATCTGCTATGTTAGACACAAGTATGGATATTTTGCAAAAACAAAGCAAAAATCCTTGGAAAGAGTGCCAAATTTCCACATTCCTTTCAGTCTCCTTCTCCCAATCAGTTTCTCAAGATGACATATCTCCCAGGACCCAGAAAAGACCTGAACTGGGTACTTTCCTCACCAGGCCCTGCTTTGAAGGAAACAGTCACTGCTTAAACATAACGTGAATGTTCTTCACAGACATAATTTTTAGTCCTAAGCAAGTGATACTTCTGCTGCAGGAACCCCTTTTTCATTCTGGTTGTACAATGCATCTCTTCATTATGTCATTTTGAACCTTCTCAGAGGTACTCTGTTCTCGATTATTGATAGAAGTCTTTCCAAGACATTCCCAGGGCACATGAGGAGCAGCTGTGCCCCAGAGAAGTGTATTTGAAGAGTGTGTAATACCTTTGCAGTGGCTTTGACTTTCAAATGTTCATCATTTTTTTCTGCCAGCACTTAAGCAGGAACTTTGTAAAATATGTTTTTTGTGTACTAACTACTGTGTGAGGGATGTTGATTTTCATTCTGTCAGCTTCACCAGTTCAAGTGATAGTGGCTCAAGGTTGTCTTTTATAAACAATTTAAAATAGCAAAATTATTTCTGAATAGTTGTGTTCGTATAATATATCAAAATTGCCTTAGATTTCTTTGTGTTTGAGATTTTCCATATGGATTTTCATGCAAGTCCAAACAACATTTTTAGGTATATGAGCTACATATTCTGCTATTGACAAAACTCTGATGTGTTCAAATTTCCTAAGAATTGGATGTGGAAATCAAGTGTGAGTTGAAAATCTACAGTCTCTTTGATAAATGCCAGCTTTAGGAAGGCCCCTGGCAGCATGAACACTCTATCTACCTTTAATATTAAGCTTTTATGTACTTTTACGTATATGTATATGGATCTACCTCTTTAAATTCCTTTCATATTAAGGCTGTTCAAGCATTTAAGTAAGATAACGCTCCTCTTGTCTGCTGTTGCTTCTGTCTCTAAAGAATAGTATGATTTGTGTTTTTAACAACTCCTTTTTTAACAGAGCTGGACAGGAAATGATGCTGTGTATCGTTGTAACTGGAGGAGTTTGCAGTGCACACAGTGCCTTAGATCCACCACGTTCTGACATGAGACATTCTTCTGGGCAGGGTCATGTGGGCTTTATTATAGCCCAAACAATTTAATTTTGGAGTTAAGGACAAGCTACTGACTGGCATTGAATAGGTGGTTGTGTGATTATAGTTTAGGTACAACATTTGGAAAGTTCTGCAGAGAGGCAGATGCTGTTGCTGTAATCGATGTTGGGTTCCCTGATCAACAACAAAAGTTTGAATCCAGGAGGTGAGAGTTCTTAAACTGCATTTCCTTTGGAAACAGCATCAAACAGACCCATATTCCTGGATGGGAAGGAAATCCCAAGCAGTGGAGATGTTGAGGAGAGCTGCCAGCACAGGCAAGCTGGCCAGAGTAGCTGTACATTTTCCCTGGGTGGTGGGAGCTGGGTTATGGCAGGGCTGCTGCCTTGCTTTTGCCACATTACCTGAGACTGAAGCACTGACTCCTTGAGGATTATAAAACACTGCTGGCCCTGGCTGCGGGGGGAAGAGTGCCACCTGCTGAATCCACAGCATCAGTCCTGTGCAAATGGGAAAAAACTGCAGCTTTTAAGGGTACTTTATAATCACTTTTTAAATCGTGCATTTTTGGCCTTAAAATAATACACAATATAGTTAGAATTTTTAAAAACCCATAAAGAATAGAATTCTAAAATATGCTTCCCTAGCATAAGCAGAGCTAATTTTAAGTATCAGCAGTATCAGTAAATGTAAAAAAGTAAATAAATAGGGCATCCAAATTGATGACCATAAAGTATCACATAACCATGAAATCTTCCCTTCCTCATCCTTTTTCTATCTGAATTATGTAATGCTTTTTAGTCATAGTGATCACAAGAATGTTCACTTCTGGTTTTATCATTTTGTTTTAGATAAGATGGGAAAAAAACATCACACTGGGGGAGCCCCCAGGATTCTTGCATTCCTGGTGGTGGTAAGTACCAGTTTTCTTCTCTGATTTTTTTAGAATACATTGATGGCCAGTTCCAGCTGCTGGAGGCAAGAAATTCAGGTGAACACTGTAAAAAGAACGAGAGGATCAGGATTAAGAAGCATTCTGTTGTTAGGGAATAAAATAACAGAAAATTAGATACAGGAGAATTAAATAAGAAAAGGAAATACCAGAAAAAGATACTGGTTATTGGATTCAGAAAAACAGAAATAGTGCATAATGTGTTGATAAGAAAGAAGGTGGACTGGCTTTCCTTCTTCACCGCCTTCCAGCACATTTTGCAGCTAAGGGATCATTCTAGATATCACTTGGAAAGAAAACACAGTAAATACAGAGACTCTGTAGATGTGAGCTTGCTCAGTCTGCAGTCCATAGCTGTGTGTGTAGAATTCTCCAGGGGAGAAGAGTGCTCACAGGCACTGCTGTGTAGCCATGGTATTTATTCATTATTTTAATATATCCAACAAGCCTGTGTTTAAAGGAATGCAGAAGTGCAGAGAATATGCCCAGCTGTCAGGAGTACAAGAATTCACAGGTTTTGAAACCACCAAAATTCCCACGTTTTGGGTCCCATTTGAACCCAAGTGATTTGCACAGCTGCATGGGAAGTGGGGTATCCTTCTTTGACCATTCTTTCACAGCTTCTGCTGCGTGATGGAAGCCTGGCAAGAACGTGTCCCTTTTATCTCCAATGTCTGCATTATCCTTAATTTTGATTGTCTGCAGCAGAGTGCTCAAATTGTCCATAAATCCCTATTATGGTGCTGGACTAAGTTATAGAGGGTTAAGTCTAAACCCGCTATGAAACTCCAACAAATTTTATTATCAAATACATTATTAAGTCATTCTAGCATATGCACGGTTTAATTCCAGAAACTTGGTGGTAGAACTGATTGGTATATAACTCTAGTTGAAGGAGTTTGTGGGGGAAGACCAATGGGATTATGAGCCATAATACCCTTCCTTTTACTCTTTATGAGCTAAGAACCTGCCCATCCATTTTCTCTGTTTGGCCGGGCACCAGATCCTCAGGGAGCTTTGGTTTAAGCACAGGACTGGACATTTGCCCAGAGCAGCTATGGCTGTCCCTGGATCCCTGGAAGTATCCAAGGCAGGCTGCATGGGGCTCGGAGTAACCTGGGATAGTGCAAGGTGGTGGAGACTGCATGGGCTCTAAAATCCTTCCAGTCCAAATTAGTCTGTCATGCCATGAACCTTGACCACGGAGGGATTCCCAGTTTTCTCTTTCCTTTCCATATTATTACAAATTCATTCCTTCCTATGCTTTGTGGAAGTCATTTGAGCAGTTGCCAGAGGGGTAAGATTAAATGCACAGTAATACATGTTGTATTCATATATATTAGACCAGATTCTTGGTCTGTAATGCAGTGGTATTAAAGGAGTGCAGCACTGTTTGCCTCAGAGATCAGACAGCAGAACTTGGTTTCTCATAGATGATTTACAAATCTAAATTGTAGAGTGAAATCTAAATTCCCTAGAGGTGAACGTTCCCATGCTGTGGAGAGAAAGTGACGTTTCCGTACAGGAGCATCCATGTGGGGTGTGTGCATGCCCTGAAATGCACATGGGCATCACAGTGACACTCACCACCCTGTAATCTCTTCCCTTGCAGTGTGTTCTGGGATCTCTACTGTGCAGCTCCAGAAAGACGAGAAACATGTGAACACTCGAGTGAAGCAAAAGCCTTTCATGACTACGTAAGTTTTGTTTGTCTTTACCATGGCTTCATTAATTGCATGTATAAATGTGATAGAAAAGTATTTCTGCAATGCAGTGGCTCAAAAACAGAGGTGTTGGTCAAATGTAACTCTCAGCTTTCTGGGGATAATTTCCTTAGAATTAGGAAACTATCTAAGGATCGTTTCCTTTGAATTAGGAGTTCTTAATTCTTTAATTGCCAGCACAATATGGGTGACTCCTGGAAGCTATCTCAGAGATCAAGGTGCTGTCCCACGTGTTAATACAGAATAAGGCGTGTCCTTCTGTCCCCCATGCTGAGGACATCTGAGGCTGGTCACAAAGGCCCAGGGCAGATGGAGGCATGGATGTGGCCTGCCCAAATACCTGTGCTCTGTCAGTGATAAAGGAAAACTGTTCTATAGATGGAATTATCTCTGGCTTTCTGTCAGGACCACCCTGGCTGAAACCGGGGTGGTTCATATATTTTTGTAACCTGAAGTAACGTCAAGATTTTTCATCCTAATAAAAAGTCAAGCATCCTAGAACAAGTTAAATGCAAAATCAGCTGGTCCAAGACAACAGGAGGAATAAAGGGCAGAAGTTTCTTGACAGTTTTGCTGCCTTTGAGGCTTAGTTCAAAACACAACAGGGAGAGTCTTGAGTAAGAGCAGTTCTCACAATACAACTGTGAGCCTCTTTCTTTGAGTCTTTTCCAGGTCTGTCTCACAAATAGTGTCTAGTTACTGCCAAAAAATACTTCTAGAGATAAAACTGACATTAGACTAGCCCCTAGCCCAGTGTCTTACAAACACGGGTCAGGAACAACAGAAATGATCCAGCAAAGTGACCATTTTCCATTTTCTGTTGTCAAAATCTGGTAATGGCTTGGCATCCTGCAACGTGCAAGCTAATGGTGAGCTTGCCTTATTTGCAGTAAACAGCACCTCAGACTGTGAATGCACCATCAGCACAGTCAGAGATGTCCAGCATCTTTCACCAGTGTCTCTTTTAACACCCTGTAGAGGTTAAATTTTGAGGTTGACTGGTTAAGGAGCTTGGACAATGTTGCACAGTCATGTCCAGGCTATGCTGACCAGTAAACATAATTAATGAAAGAAATAATTACCAGAGAACAGAACAAAGTTTAAGGACATTTTGTACCCACAGAGTTGTTAAGGTCAGCCAACTTAGTAAGGCACATTCCTCAAATTATTTTTAAAGTATCTCTTGCAACTACAATAGCTGTGGTCATTTTGTCCTAATCTGTCTTAAATATAAAGTTGTTGGAAAAATAGAACACTTAGCCATTAGTATTAGCTACTTAGTATTTTGGTTCCTTGTTATTAGAGGAAGGTTTAATTCCCCACTCAAGGAGCAGTTGTTTTACAGTGTAAGACCATGAGGAATGACATTAGAGATTTAAATCTGGGGAGATTCAAAGCACAAAAGTTTACTTCAGTGGGGAACATTATGTTCTCAAAATAAAGTATATGTAACAAAAGCCAAAAATCCTAAAAATGTAAATATTGTTGTGAAACAAAATTGTGAAACAAAATGATCAGCAAGAGGAAATTTTCAGTGAAAAAGTATTTGGAGGCTGAAAGGAGTCCACAAACCTTTAAGCTCAGGACAGTTTAACTGATCAGTAAGTTCACGATTGAGTCAAAATTTGGAGATATACTGAGAATCTGAGTAGGTGAATCAAAGTAGTTAGAAACGTCCTTAAGTATGTTCCATTAGCAGTTCTAATTTCTGCAGGCCTTGGAATATTACATGGCCTTATTGCTCAGTTCTGTCTTCATTTATGGTATGTATTGTTATAATTCAAGGAAAGTGAGAAAATGTGAGTTCTGTGTCCTACAGTTTTGTGATTGAATATTTAACTTATTGTACAAAGTCATATTTGATGAAGAAAAGATAAAATCATGGTATGATTCTATTTGTACATCAAGACAGGATGAACACTTATTTTGGAAACAATTTGATTTATTTTAGAAATTAATTTACCTGGTGCTTGTAAAACTCGTTCTCTCAATATTTTAAGGTGGCAGGAAAAGCTTTGCATTGTTTTTGTCACAGTTGGGATAAATTCATATAATCCCTCACAAGACTCATGATGATCCTTGTTATAACTTAGGTTTTGCTTGGGACAGTCTTCATCATGGTTTTTGTGTCTGGTATTTTAAGGTAGCATTTTAAACTCCTGTCAAAGAAGAAGAAAATGGTAGTTTTTGCAAGCAGATCTCACAGCAGAGGAAGATGAACATGTGTTCAGTGAAATCCTGATCCACACAGTGTCTTGCCATTGACTGTGGAGGGGTCAAAATCCCACCATCAGTGGGGACTGTAAGAAGCTGCTGCTGGATTCTGGCTCCTGCTGAGGCTGAGGGGGCTGGTAAATCAAAACTCTGCTGCCACACTGCAGGTCAAGTAGTAGAGCATTTGTAGCTGTGCTATCACATCTGAAAATTGTTACTGTACGTACAAAACAGCACAGAAGGCTTGTTTATTAATTCATACGAGCAATTCAGAATTTTTTATTAGGCATGTGTTCCACTTGACCTAAGAAAAACCTTTTCTGCTGAAGGGGCGCGTGGTCTGGCTGCTGCAGACATGGCAGCTGTAGCTGAGTGGGCTGTGTTTGGAGAGGAAATAATCTTGTCTTTGCTTTTGTGGAGAGAGAAAGGCTTAGGGATGCTTGATGGAGGAGGAAAGCACTTGCAGATGATTTAATGATTTGGAAATACTGCTGCCTCACTCAACATAGCTGCGAGTCAGGCAGGAACACACAGGTTGACTCATAAAATGAATACACAGAAAGACGGAGTTTCTTTAAGTTTACTTACAAGTTTTACATTACCTGAACTGCAACTGTAAGATTAATGCTGTTTGATTTCTCCCACTCAGAAAGTATGTTGTTGCTTGCAGCACTACAGTGCTCATCGTACTAAAAATCCACTAAAGAGAAAAGCAAAGCCCTGTTCTGGCTTCATAAAGAAGATCTTCCATGCTCATTCTGAGTTTAAATATTTGCAGCTCCCCCATATTTAAAATGGACTGTATGTTTATTTTCTGTCAAGATTTGCCACTGGATGTTTTCTTCTGAGTGAACAAAGTTCTGAACTGATTAAGTACATTTCTCTCATTTTTTTTTAGGCTTGAAAAGATGCATGTCATGAATGTGCATGTGCTGGATCAGGGAGATAGGTCCTGACCTGGAATTTTTGAGATATATGATGTAGAATTGGAGATTTTTTCAGGTGGCTCAGGAAAGAAAACTGTTGCTTGCTCATCCAGCCAGTTAATAGTGCAGGCATTTCAGAAGGAGTAGCTTCATTTGAAGCAGAAAAATCCCCATGATTCTTTTCCGGGTATACCTGTTACTTTACTTTTTCCTGGAGGAAAACTTCAGCATGCTTTGAAGTCTTGTGAGAAATCATGTACATGGGTGGTCTGAGGCAAAATTCTGTCTTCAGTGTACAATGGTTTGTGTTTCTTCATGGTGTCCTAAGGAGATGTCTTTACCTCTCTAGTTAAGAGCTCGTTTTTCCACATTTTGAGAACTGCTGAGAGAAGCAAGTTCCAACATGCGTCTCTTTCCACTTCTTTCCAAGCTGAAAACTGGGTCCCAAAGGGGAAATAAAACCTGGATTTTTAGCAGCAGCCCTTCTTCTGATGGCCACAGATGACCATCCTACTCTTCCTCAGGCCTGGCCATTCATCCCCATCTCTGAGTTTGAAGGGGTGCTACCTGAAAATCCTTCCTTACAAGATAATTTCTGTACATAGCAGTTAAGATATTTCTGCTGTCCAGAAAATCCTGTGCTCCTGTTATCTCACGCTCCTGACACTGGAAGTTTTTCCACTTGGTGTTGGTGCAAAGAAGGGGCTCACTGTTTCTTACATGTAGCTGTATTAAAATCTTGATTCTTTTCCAGGTAAGGTTTGATTAGTTCTTCACCCCAGCTCTTTGGAAGATCACTTCTGGTATGGGCACAGGTGTCTGGTTTGTGTTTGTGTCTCCCAGAAGAATTCCATGTAATGCATAGGGTAACAAACCAGAGGCTGAAAAGCCTCATGAGCTGGACCCACTGTCCCTCTGCCCTCTTGGCACAGTTCAGTGCTGAGCTCTGTGACAGAGGGTTGTAAAGTGTGCCAAAGACAATGCTGCCATCAGTTTTGTCCAGATTATTCCTTTTAAAGGTCATAAGTATAGAAAGCTCAATCTCTGTGCACCTCTCTTCAGAAAAATTTGGTCTCTGCATTTATTTTTGTGTTTAAAGGGGAGAGAAATTACTGCTTTCTTCCCTGGAGCAATCTGCCTTCAGAACTAAGAGGCACTTGTACACCCTAAATGCCCAGACCCCCTTAATTAATCATTATCAATACTCAGTATTTGAGAAGTTATGAATGCTTTATGTCTACTTTGGACTACAGGTTACCATGAAAAGCCTGTGAGACTGTCTCCCACAAGGACTATTTTGTTTCTGGTTTTATTAAACTGCTGTCCTCCTCTGCCTTTTGTGCATCAGGGATGGAGGAACTTGTTTTGTTATTGATTGCCTGACCCATCTTTTGCTACTGAACCTTCTGCAGGCAACCTAGCTAGGGCAGCTTTTGCTTCTAGGTTTATTGCTTAAAATGGAATTCTAGGTCTGGTTTCCAGCTGTCCAGCTCCATTCTGTGGAGAATGCACGTTAAACTCCTTCTGCTTGAAAGAGAAATTGAGGAAAAAAGTTCCCCATCATCCTCATCCTCCCATAGAAGGGCTGAAGATGGCAAGGTGTCCTGCTTTGCTCCAGGGCTTTTGTACCAGAGGCAATGCTGCAGATCTCAGTTACCTGTTAATTCCTTACCCAAGTTCTGGAAGGCCCTTTGCATGTTTACTGATGATCACTAATCAGTGATTTCACCCTCAGAATATATTCTTCAGACAATTAATTTGTCTGCTCTGTAGATAGTTCCTGTGTCCAGGTAGAGAAAAAGTTATTTCTCACAAGTAGAAGAAATTTATTAA